AAAACAAACAACAGTGCGCTGCAAGAAGTTAATCTAGCAAACAATCATCTAACGGGAGATATTCCAGGCCATCTGCTTTTAAAATCACTTGATATTTTAGATCTATCGCAAAACCGGTTTACGTCAATCAATGAAGGCAAGCCATGGCCAAAAGATGACAAAGGAAGCATTAACTTATACCTTTCGTTGGCCGAGAATAGAGACTTGGCAATTGATTTTCAAAGTTTCCTGGGACTTTTTGAGGACACAGAGACCCTATCTTTCATAAATGTAAGCTACTGTGGTATAGAAAGTCCTATTTTGCCAAACCTGTTCTACTTCCAAAGATTGTCCACTATCGATTTAAGGGGCAATAAACTTTATGGAGAAATGCCAGATATTTTCGCAGATAGATCAGTGCTATCCTACCTTGATATCTCTCTCAATAACTTATCAGGTTCTCTACCAGGAGGGGCACAAAGTTTCATTGCTCTTCAATACTTGGATATTTCTGGAAATCCTTACATGAAGAAAGGAACAAGGATATCGGCCGATGTCTTACAGCCTGACTTCTCAAGAATGATCAAGCAACATCAAGAAGACAACTTTACTTGTCCCGAAGGGCGCTTTACGTTCAATAATGGCCGTATTCGCTTAGATCCTACATTTTACGAATACAAGTATTGTATCTGTGACGCTCGTTTTTACGGAGACACTGGACTTTGCAAATTATGTTTGGACGGAGGGACGTGCAACAAAGCTGTCGTCAGTACCCTGGAAGATATCCGCCCAAACATCATGAGGATAGCTCCTGGCTACTGGCCCTCACCTAGCACTAAGAACGTAACTCATTTCGTCAGGTGTCCAGTACCAGCTTCCTGCAATCCAATGGCCTCTTGCACTTGTCACCTTGATAAAATAGATAACGACCCGCTTTCAACTCACGCTAAACGTTTATTGCCAACTTTAATCACGACATGCAATCAATCCTGCATCTGTCATCCAGGAAACACTGACAGGTTCTGCTCCCG